ATATATGCCTATGGAGTGTGATTTGTGTTCAAGTTCCCTTCAGTGTGGGTCCATCCACTGGAATCTGTTTTACCTACCAGGACTCATGGAGTCACATGTTGGAGTCACATGTTTAAAAGAGACTGTCAGGCTAGAGAAATGGCTCAGCAGTTAAAGGACTGACTTTTCTTGCAGAGGATCCAGTTTCTATTCCAAGCACCCACATGGCAGCTAACAATGTCCCTTAATTCAAGTTTCAGGGACTGATGGCCTCTTCTGATCCTCAGGGGTGTCGCATGCCATGGATGCACCTGCATACATGCAAGCAATACCCTCAAACACATAAAATGAAAAATAATTAAAATTAAAGAGAGACTGTCTCTGCTGGTGTTAACTCTTTTCATTCATTATTTGCTCCTCAACTTCTGATTCCATCATGATTTATATGAATTTACCCCTCAAATATTCAGCACCCCTTCCTAATGAATCTGTTTTGCAAAATTGAAACCCAAGTTTAACAGAATTTTAGAAACTTTAAATAACCTAATTCTTAGCACAAAAAGTTGTGAGGGTCTGAATCTGAGTGCAAGTCTCGAGTCTAGAGTAGTCTTTATTTCCCTTGTATTTTTATTGTTTGCAGTGATGAGCTTCATTATTATATTTCCATGCATGAGTATCATTTCCCTGTGATCTTACATATTGCAGTTTTTAGCCCTGAATGACAACTTGTAAATCAAATAACAATCTTTCTTTCTATCATGCATGATTGTTATCTGAACCACTGTCCTTGTTTTATGCTGATGAACCCTTGGATGTTGGTGCAAAGTGAATACAGAGTTCATAATACAGATGTTAATAAGGAATTTACCTTAAAACATCATGGAATTGGTTGTTTTAGGTTAAATAAATGCAATTTTATATGATGATTTCCACCAATAAAATAGAAACAATAATACCTTCTACATACTGTTAACTAGGAGTTTGAATCACCAACAATTGCTTTCTATTCGAGGGATATCTTTAGTCACCATGCCAAAAATCTTAACTTTTTAAAGATTAGATCATATTTTCAAACAATGGATTCAAACTGAGGTTTTGACACTTTGAACATACACATCATGTGTAGGCACTTTCTCATATAGCTTTCTGTTTATGAACAATAAATGAATGTGCTTAAGGGTACAATTGATAAATTTAAAGGAAACATTATTTTTAGGTGCATGTACAGTAACATTTGCCTCTTCTTCTATTTGCAGTTAAACGGTGCTCTGATCACACACTGCAGTGCACTCATCATGATCACATTCCATGCAGATCGCAGCCGTGGTTAAAAATTATGGTACTCTGTACATATTTAAAAATGTCTTTTAACATTTCATGTCAAGGAGCCCTAGAGACTGATGAATGCTGTCATTTCAATAATGAATTTTTTCTTCTCTCTAACAGGAGTAATTGCTTTCTCCACAATACTTAAAATTTGATTAAAGATTTAAATAATTTGTATCCACCTCCATTTTTTATGGTAGCCAACTATAGCTTTAAAATATTTATAATAATCTGTTCTCAATGGTAGTAAAACCAATTACGGGAAATCTGCATGAAGATTCACAAAAAATGATGATAATATTATAAATTATGTGAAACAGCTTTTCTCATAGTTTCAGAATTTACATGAAAACAGTCTGCTGTGACCTTCCTCTTGAGAGTCATGCAAAACCAGAGCTTTGTCACTGAGTTCATCCTCCTGGGGCTTTCACAGAACCCCACAGTTGAGAAAACATTATTTGTTGTATTTTTGGTGATCTACCTTGCAACTGTTGGGGGCAACATAATGATTGTGGTGACCATCGTCTGCAGCCCTGCACTGCTGAGCTCCCCCATGTACTTCTTCTTGGTATTTCTGTCCTTATTGGATGCATGCACGTCTTCTGCAATAGTACCAAAGATGATTGTGGACTTCTGTAAAAGGAAGACCATATCCTTTGAATGTTGTATGACACAACTGTTTGCTGTCCACTTCTTCACAGGGGCTGAAGTGATTGTCTTGGCAGCCATGGCCTATGATCGCTATGTGGCCATCTGCAAACCCTTGTACTACACTTCCATAATGAATAGAAGGCTCTGTGGCACTCTGGTGGGAGTGGCCTGGGCAGGAGGCTTCTTGCACTCCATCATACAGATTATCTTCACTTTGCAGCTGCCCTTCTGTGGGCCGAATTTTATTGATCACTTCATATGTGACTTGTTCCCATTACTGAAGCTTGCCTGCACTGACACACACATTTTTGTCCTTCTGGTGTTTGCCAACAGTGGGTCTATTTGCATCATCATCTTCTTCTTGTTACTTGTCTCCTATGGTGTCATCTTGTTCTCTTTGAGAGCACACAGCTCTGCAGAGCGTCGTAAAGCTCTCTCCACCTGTGCCTCCCACATTACTGTTGTGCTTTTGTTCTTTATCCCCGGCATATTAATATATGCACGACCTGTATCTGCATTCCCCTTTGAAAAAAACACCCTTGTGTTTTCCACCATCCTGACACCATTGTTCAATCCTATGGTTTACACTTTTAGGAATACAGAAATGAAAAATGCCCTCAGGAAAATGTGGAAGAGATTGATATTGGTTTCTGGCCAATATTAAAATAGTACACTGACCATGCTAGAGAATGAGTGAGAGAATGTGCTTTGAAAACAGGAAGACCTGAGTTTTAATCAGAGTATAAAATCAGAAGCTAGGCATGGCAGCCCATATTTAACACAGTGTTGTTGAAATGCAGATAGATGATTGCAGAGCCTCATTTTCCCAATAATCTGTCAAAAAAAAGTGGTAGTTCAAGTTTTGTGCAGAGATGTTTTCTTAAGAAAAAAAGTCACAATGAAGCAAGCACCTTCTATCCTTTACAACCAAGGTTAGCTATTGGGTATCATTTTACTGACAGTACCAGGCTGTGAGGATAATTCTCCCATTTGTAATAGATTAAATTGAATCTAGAGGACCCAGATCAAAAATACTTTTCAAGAGGATAATGTATTTCCAATTATTTGGATATTTTAAAATCTTAATGCTATGTATCCACATGAAAAACTATAAATTATCAATAAAGATCATTGAATTTGAGTTATATTTTTTTATTTAATAGATATATTTTGTTACACTTAGGTTGTCAAGTAAAACCTGCCTGGAATTAATTTAAAACACACATTTCTCCTCAAAAGAAGCAGCAGTATAATTTCAGTTGAATTCTTTGGGCATTAGTATTATATTCTAATATTTTGTTTGTGTCTTTTAATTTTATATTCCAGAGTCAAAATATAATGCATAGAGAAGATACTTGAGATTGTATTGATATCCCATTGGAAAGTATTCAAAGAATTAAGATTATCCCAAGGTAGAACACAATTTTAATACAAAATAGCCCATATTGTGCTGTGTTCCATCATACAACCATAAAGGGAACTCTGAGTTATGTTTTATCCTTCTTTGAGTACTTCTCTGTGCTAATAGTTGTCTTCTAAATTTAAGAAAAAATTTTAAAAATAATTATGGAGCTGGAGTGATGACTCAGTGGTTAAAAGCTCTGACTACCTTTGCAAAGGACCTGAGTTCAATTCATCACACCCACATGGCAGCCAACAAGCCTGTCTAACTCCAGTTCCACCAGATCTTATGTTTTCTTCTGTCCTAGAGGGCATTTCACAATACAGGTACACCTATCTATATGCAGGCATTACACTCATATACATAAAACAACAAAAAAATTATTTTAAAAGAAGATTTGTGTCAATAAAAATATCCTAACAAGGTGTGCGAATGCCATAGGACCAAAGGGGAAACAGACAAACTATGATTCTTAGTCCAATTAACTTCTTTCTGCCATATATCTGACCCACAACAGGCGCCAGTTCTTAATGTCTTTGCCCTACATATAGAGGTACTTTTTTACATAAATAAAATTATTCTTTATTTATTTACATTTTTTGCATAAAATTATTATTACGTAAATAAATTACGGAGAATTTCATAAATGCATAAAAGGTGTTTTGATCAAATCCATGCCCTCTCCTTCACCTCTAACTCCTCCCATATCTCCCCATCACTTTTTTTCTGATACCTCCGTGTACTCTTTCTTCTTTGATTATTTATTTTCATGGGGCTTTTGGCTACTCTAACGTTCCTCCCACTGAAGAGGTAACCCTAAAATCTTTGAAGAATTAGATACAAGCTCCCAAATACTTTTAACATTTTTGGCTTTTGGAAGAGTATATTGCTAAGAGGCCCAAGGACATTTTGAGTTTTAGCCAAGAAACTGGCTACTTTTCTTTGGGGTCTTTTTACCCAAATTGCTTAGCCAATTTCTACCTCCTATTCTTATTACACCATCCTCTGAAGAGGTTACCCAAATTGCAAATAGAGACTTGAGATGCAGACTGCTCTGGATTCTTCCATACCGAACAGGGACACAGACTTTGTTTCTAAGCAGAAAGTGCTGCTCAGATGTAAGACTTCAAATCTTGGTCTGCGATACTGTAGTGCCCACCTGCAGCTAAGGGAGACAACCAGCTATTGTTCTAAAATGATGGATAAATTTGTTTTCTCCCCCTATCTCAATCCTTTGAGAGGGAACTGACACTGATTCTAACCACTCTAACAGCTATTGAAATACCTGAAAGCAAATCCTGAATCAATCACTCTAGAGTCCAGCCTTGGCAGACAAAAGAAAAACGAGGAGGGACCTAATAGTGGGAAGCTTTTGGAAGCTCTCGTCAAGAAATCCCAGTGGACTCTAATATGAGCATTTGAAATTTGCCTTGTTCTGACTTTTTTCTGGTTCTCTGTCTAGAACTTGTAATGCTAACTAACTATTCTTGCCTTTACTTCTCCTTCACAACCCCTATTCACCAGTCAAGGACCTTCTTTTCTCCCTATGGATAAGAGTTGTGCAATTTGGGAGTCTTTTAGATACACCCACTGAAGGGGTACTCCAGTTGCCTCACCCTGCATCCCTATTCAGCATGGAAGAAGCCAGA